CCGCACGCCCCGGGCCGCGTGGCTACCGCACGGCTTTCTCGTGCCGTTCCCGCCGTGTTTCCCACGGGGCTGGGGGAGAGAGCGCATCGGGACCGGTCACTGTCGTCTCCCTGATAAAGAACCACACGGACAGGTGCGCCCCAGGTACATCTGGCTGTTTTATTCATTCCATCGCAAACTCATGTCCTTCGGCTGCACCAGCCGCCGGTCCTCATGTCACACAAAGGGAATGAAGCCCGACACGCCATGCTCAGCTCAGCTCTGAAGCTGCCGGGGCACCGAGCGGGCGGGAGGGGCGGGGGGGGGGCGAACACCTGCCTGACGTCTGCTCATCAGAGATTTTTTTTCCTGAAAATGCACAGTGGCATTTCCTCCAAAAAACCCTTCATCCACAGACAGGAAGGACGGAGGCCGCGAGCTCGGGCTCCCCGTCAGCACGCTGTGCTCACCTCCTTCACTGGTCACTGGCAGGCTTCTCTCCTTTAGAAGTGAATCTTTACGCATTTCACGATGACAGACTCAGTCACCGTGAGCTCCCCAGGCTGCGTCGCAGTCTGCTGCATCCAGCAGGCCGAGCACCCCGGAATCAGCCTCGGTGGACCCCGCCCCGTGTGCCCTGGCTGGCAGTGAACCGCTGGGACAAGGTGGAGGTGACAACTGCATGGGAGCGGAGGGTTTTCCTAACGCCAGCCACAGAACCTCGGGAAGCTGGCGAGCGGTTCCCTGTGCTCCGGCCCTGGTGGCCACTTTCGGCAGAGATGTTCCAGATGGAAAATTTAATCCACTAGAAATTCACAAACTGCTTTTTCCCAAAGGAACCCAAAGACATTGCTTCAGGGCACAAACCAGAGTCTGTGGTTACGACTGTGCTTCACTTACGCCCCACGGGACCGATAAGGGGCTTTTAGGAAGGGCAGGCAATGCCCACGTGTCCCCTTTGCGAGCTGGGCTCGGGAGGGGCCCTGGACCTCATGCTCTCAGAGGCGTGTCTTCCCTGCGTCGGAGCGGATACGGCCCTTGTTGCCATGGCGGCGGGGAAGTCTGCACGAGGCTGTGGCCGGACCCCTGACTCCCTGCCACTGCTCCCCGGTAGCCTCCCGGGCAGGGACGGCGGCTCTACAAAGCCAGGGACAGGGGCGGCAGTGGCCAGCGTCCAGGCAGGACCTAGCACCCGGACAAGACCCAGCACCCGTCCCGGGCAGGACTCCAAGCAGACCAGCACAGCTGGACACCCGCAGCAAATGGCTGGGACCACCAGCCCTGACCCCACCTGAGCCCCGAGCTACGCCGGCCGCCAGCCGCCCAGTCAGTGCGGCCGCGGGGGCTGGGCCCGCAGAGAAGCAGCGCTCGGCGTGTGGGACCGACAGTCCCAGCCAGTGGCGCTTAGAGAAACCAGGGCTGAGAAGGGCTGAGGGCCGGGGGCCCGGGACAGGGAGGCCGGGCAGGAGTTGATGTCCGAGCCACAGGCGCCTCGGGGTCTATCCAAAGGAGCTACAAATAAATATCCTCTGACCCTCAAAGGAAAATGAAGTAGAAAAACAATTCTTTTTTTTAAAAAAAATGCTGAATGTTTCCTGAAGTATCTAAATGAAGTTTATAAAATGCTCGTGAGCTCCCACAAGTGTAGAAACGTTTAAAAACCGAGGGCGGGGGGCCGCGCGGGGACCCCAGAGGTCGGCAGGTTGTGCGGGACGCGAAAGCACGTGGCACGTCCCGTGCCCGGGCGTGGGGGGGCCGCGTGGGAAGACCAGGGTGGAGACCGGAAACGGGGGCCGTGTGGGGGAGCCACGCCCGCCGCCGCCCTTCCCGACGCCCCGTGCCAGGGGGCAAACGGACGCACCGCCCCTCTGGCACTCGCCTGGGGC